ATGCAAGCTGGATTGGTTAAAAAATGATCTAATAAGAGTTTATGATTCAACAGAAGACCTAACTTTTGATAAATTATAATGACACAACAGAATTCATTTACCCAACTATAAATAGTTTTTGAATAGAGGATGAGTTGAGTCTCAGTTCTTTGATGGATCATGTTGTGTTTGACTCCACCCTCTGATCTTCTCCTTCTTTGAACAGCAAACGGCCAAATGCTTAATTTAATATTTTTTTTTAATTTGTCCATATAAATAATTAATTGAATCTACAACTGTAAATGGACTGGTAGTAGGAGGGGTTTATATAGGGACATCCCGGATAGCATGGCGGACCCAAAGTTTGACCAAACACCAGTATAGTGAGAGATAGTAAGGTTGAGTCAAGTCCATATATGCATGTTTGATAGAAATTAAATGTGAGGATGAATTCAAAATAGCAACTCTTTACTGTTGATACGTCAGTTGATAAACTGTAGACCAACCATGTCTACACAGTCTGGCTTGAGAGAAACGCCAATTAAGGATAGGACAAAGCGAGAAAGGTGCGAAACTTTGCTTGGATTTCTACCCACAGGTCTGTTAAATTGATGGTCCCAGAGCGGACGGTGGCATCTGTCAATGGACGTACGCCCTAATCTCCAGCAATCCCTCTGGCTTCCAGGTTATTTACAAGGCCGACCAGACAAAAAAAAAACCTATTTAGTTGGAAAACTTGTGCCCAAGCCCAGTCTGTTAGGCTGGTCCATTGGTCCATCTCCACACCTCTCTTCAAAGTTCAAACATTAGACTTGGTGGAATTTGTCAGTTAGAAATTGAATGATCATGGAGATGCTGGATGGATTACTGTTCTCACCAAATCATGCCCAAGCTTGACCCTGGACTGTGCCTAAACGGAAAAATTTGAGGGCTTTACTTGGCTCCCATTATAGTTTGATGAAAGCGTCTGATCGTCCCTTGATTTTCACATATAAACCTTAAACCCCTTGATTCCTGACCCTAAATTTTAAAATCCCGTTTACTTTTTGGAAAGTTATTTATTCGAGCATGTGTGTTTGAAAAATATTTGTGTGGATAAGCGTTTTTATCTAGTAAATAAAGAAATGACAAATGAAAAAGTTAATTACCCACTTGAGAGATGGGTATCACGTACCATAACTGAATTCAGATAAATCTAAAAAAAGAAAATGAATATCTTAATTAATAGGAATCAAAATCTAATTAACCAACTTTCCTCTTCTCAAAATCCAAAAAAATAAGGGGGCCTCAAAAGTAACGCTGAAAATGGACGCATTTCATCCCACAGGATAGGGGCCAGGTATATATTGGGCTTATGGACAATCCCTGCCTCAGCTGATTTTGTAGAAGAGCGACCCATAAAAAGCCCTAAATGTTGACATGGACAACCATTACTTTGATCCCAACTGCGGACTAAGGCAATTCAATTATTTGATGTCCCATAGTCTAATTTGTCCAAAACTGAAAATTGAACCATTGGTTTCATACGACAAATAGAGAGCAAGAATCCAATGTCGGTAGATGTGGGTGAGAATGAACTATGGCAGAGTACAAAATTTGAGTTTGTTAAAAGGTAATGGCTAAAGGTAGTGGTATTCAGGATATTCAATAAGATTACCATGAGAAATGAAGTTTAAATTAAGCAAATAGAATGTCTGATAGGTGGCAAGGTGTGCAGATAGCAATGAAATAAGGTGAAGGGGTCAATGTAGCTGAAGAAAATTGATGCAAGGACGGATAGAACAGCCCTGGCTCTACGTAAAGAAACTATTGTGTTTCCATCAATTAAGATGAGTAACATCCAAACGAGGCACAAAATAAAATATGAACTCTAAACTCTAGAAAGAGGCTAGAGAAGGAAATTAGGTTCAAATCAAAACCTTGATTCACGCTAGGCTAATGAATGGTTCAAACGAACAACATAAGGACGGATGCCTGCCTTAATTAAAAACATATTTCATCCACACCATGAGCATAAAGTGGTGAAATCACATGTCACAACTCACAACTGTGAAATTTAAAAAGAATTACAGAAAAATAGAAGATACTTTACGCTCATGCTTTTAAGACCTGTTTTTTATAAAAAAAATGTTTCTGCCATGTAGGCAGTGAACAATACTATACTGTTTGGTAAGGTGATTTTTATCACCATTTTTCATGTATGTGTTGACAGGTAAACACCACATAAGGTATACATCAGTCAACCGTTGGGGGAAACGGTTCATCAGGGTCTCGATTTTCGAGGTATACCCAATTTTTTAATAATCGGCTGAACCAAACATTGAAAAACATGAGCGCTTGTTGAAATCCGACATGACACCATTTTTTTAAAAAGTGGCCACGATTCCAAACATCTCCTTAATTAGGGTTAATTTCCAGAGAAGTGATGATTTGGGCTTATTCCATATTTCATAAACCAGACACAATCCACCCGTAACAAAGAACATTTAGAAGACAGAGCCACAGAGGTAATCCTGTAGATTGATGGGTTCATAGCACTCTAGCAAATTAAATGGGATTTGCCCCAATCAATCTAGCGTTCCTGTAAATAATTGAATATTTAACTTGCGTCCAAATGCCTAGATTAAGCAAAATGATCATCCCTAGACTATGAAATTGTGTCTATATTGCTAACAAGGGAACTTAATTATAACTTATCCCACAGGAGTCTGTCTGAAGAGTGAAGTCTCTCTCTCTCTCTGTATGTGAAAAAGTGGAGGAGGGGATTGGAGGGTACAGAAAGTGGTCACGTTGTTGTCATTGTCGCCATTTCCATATTCGACGGCAGTAATTTTGATTTCTGGGCCCTAGGGAGGGGCATATGTTGCCAAGGTTTCTTTATACACCTGGTCAAAGGAGTACTGCTTCGTAATGCTCGAAAGGATTTCATGGCTTCCTTCCATTCAAGAACATTCCGAACAAGTAGTCAAGTACACCAAAAGACAATTGCTACCTTACTGAATTCCATTTTCGATGAACTCATCTGTTGAATATATTCTGTCTTTCCAACGACCATCTTTCTACTTTTTTTAATCCCTAAAACCTTCTTTTCATTGTCCCCACTTCTCTCTCTGACATAAAGAATTATCTCTCTCCGTGAGTGAGAAGATTTTCAGAAAGAATACAATAATTGCTTTTATTAATAACTCGTATACCAAATTCATCAGATGTCCTGTTTTCATAAGTTTCATGGGTCCAACTGAAATTAATTCATGAATTTATCATTATCAAGTTCCAAGTAGTGGTGGAAGTTCAAGTTGATGAGAAGAGATGAGAAGAGATGAGATGAGATGAGATCCCAAGTCCCAACTCTCCCAAGAATGAGATTGAATTAAGATCAATTCAACTTGGGGTTGCCCCATTAATTAGTGAATATACCCATCCCCAGATGAAACAAGCCAAAATGGGTCTCTCCTTTCCATCTACTGAACAATATTGAAAATTGAATATTGGAGAAGAGAAAAGGACTCAATAAGCAGTTGAGTCGAATAACCATTTCTGTAACTCTCAAGTGCTGCCTATAAAAGCCTACAGAAGCTATTAAAAGATACTTTAGGCGGTCCTTACACGCTTATCTTGCATACCTATGAACCACTGTTATTATCACTATCTATGCCATAGCTCAAGGGCAGCGCAAAAGGTAAGGTAAAGTAAAACTGTCCTAACTTGCCTTTCCTCTGGAGTGATATGGTTTTGGGTCGGGTCAGATTGTGATCCATCCAGATTGAACGGAATCGACCCAACCCTTTGTTAACATATCAAAAATCATCAAACATCCTCATCCCCATTTCAATTAGCTGGTGATGAAGGCTGTCATTTTCAGTAACTATAATCTCCTTGCCAGATCGAAAAAAGGTTATTAGTAGAAATTATATATGTATTTTAATTGGGGATTTGACACGTGGCATTTCATTCTAAATGAGACTATGGCTATGGGAGCCATATCAGGTAAAGAAATCACAATGCTTTGCTGCACTTAACAAAAAAGAATGTGGCAAATTTGAAATCTGGGAAGCCTGAAAATTTCAACTTGTATTGGTTTCAGAATGAATGATCTCCCTTTATTAGTAATAGTGATGGTTATATGGTTATATTAGTTCTAAGACTGGAATAAGCTAAAGGAACTTACTTGTACAAATATGCAATACAATTAATTTGCTTATAACCCAATATCTCTCCCACTGTCACACAGGAAGTTTCCTAGTTAGTTACATCTTTCTTTTGGAGAATGACAATCAGAAACAGCTTCTAAAGATGAAATCAAAGTGATGACGCATGGTTATCAATTTTTTGTGTTTCAATTGCTTTAGTAGTAGTTGGGTTCATGGCCGATATGCTATTTTAATGCATGCTAATGTGTAAAGGTCACTAGTTCTTCTATATCTTTACCTTACCAATTTAAATATGAGAGAGAGAGAGAGAGAGAGAGAGAGTCAACTTTAAAACAATAAAACTGAACTAGTCAACACTAAAACCAAATGGGCTGAATTTTACCAGAATTTTGGATGATGCATGGATTAAGCTAAGGTTTATATGCTCATTGTTCAGTAGTGGTTACACAGTAGAGTCCTTCCTTGTTGACTCAGTAGCTAGCTAGGTGCTTGCATTGATTACACTACTTATCATATGGAATCGGAGGAGATTGGCTGGGCGACACAGCCTACAATAAGAAGAGCAAAAAATACATGGAAAGCAAAAGAAAAAGAAATTAATAGATAAAAATGTGAATTAATTGTGAGGAGAGGTGATGGATCCAATATAATTGATGAAGGCTGGCTGAGTGAGTGAATAGTTTCATCGATCATCAGAATGCAAACATCAAAACCGTGTCATTCTCAACAGAAATGAACCTTCACTACTCAACACTCAACGACAAATTAAACAATATGCATGCCAATGACTTTTACTTGTCTCTTCTCTCTATCCCACAACCCCCATCCCTCCTCTCTCTCTCTCTCTATTAAATCACAATCACTCATATATATCCTCCTCTCCCCAACTTCTCTCCCTTCTCCTTTTATTTTCGTATCTTGCAGCTACCACTTGAAGCTTTCCAAACCCTCATACAGTGTCCCATCATCATTTCTTCTAACAGGAGTTAGTTCGTTCGTTCGTTCACTAATGGATCAGTCGGCCGGCGGCCAGCATATGCATCAGGATTCAAAGACCTCAAGCGAGGATAGCGATCAGCAGCAAGATCAAGATGATGCGAGTACAGGCCGATCGTATGGGTGCGTGTTCTGTAAGCGAGGTTTCACCACTGCGCAGGCCTTGGGTGGCCACATGAACATCCATAGGAAAGATAGAGCACGGATCAGGCAGCCTGCAGTTCCATCGGTTTCGACCGGCAAACCGGACAACGAATACGTCAGTCCGGCGCCGTTGCCTCCTCCACCGACTTCTACCCGCTGGCCACTTTATAGATCTCCACCCCGAGAGGCACAGACTACTACTTATCACGTGTATCTCCCACCATCATCATCCGGCACTAGACACCCACCTGAGTACCATGCAGATGAATTTCACCTTCAAAGGCCACAGCCCTTGAGCCCATTTGACGAACACGATTGGCGCACAAATTTGAGCTTACAACTGGGTCCAACACATACCAAGAATGGCGGTGAAGGAGAGAATAAAAGAGAGGCCCAAGAAGATGAGCCAGATTTGGAGCTTCGACTTGGTCACGATCCCTAGCTAGTCATAAACATTTACGTCGTATACACAGCATTATTGCCTATATTGTATAGGTAGGTATTCTTTGATTCTGATATAATGGATTTTGGAGGTCTTGGTGTTGGTGTGGTGGGTTTCTTTTGTTTCTTTCTTTCTATAGATCGACATAATCACGTCGTCTCTCTCTCTCTCTCTCTCTCTCTCTCTCTCTCTCTCTCTCTGGCAATTCTGCTTGGAAGAAGGGGAATAAAGAAATTATATCTTTAAAAGGAATTTCACTAAACCAAAGGAATGAAGAAGAAACTCTGGGTGGATTGTTTTATAGAATTTATTCTAAGACTAACCTGGTTAGGGGGCTTWATATATTAATCTAGAGAGTCTGTTCTGAAACTTTCGTTTATACATAGTTTATGCCTTTTTCTATTTGAGTATAAGCTATGCTTGATTGCTTGTGATCATATATATGAGGATAATGAGTATCAAAATCAGCAGTATCATCAGTTGTACCGAGAGCCCCGTCTATCTGTTGAACGAAATGAGATTCCTCTCTCTGATTGCTCCGATTATGGACAGAAAATAGGTGTCATCCTAGAAGGTTTTATATCGTTTTTTGTTGTTGTCAAACATCTGAATCATGTAAAATGATATATTCTCCATTAAAGCACCAATGAGACAACACTGCAGAGAGAGAAGCAACTCCGGGGACTGCTAAAATGTGTCCTTGGAGTATAATATGACCATTATATTCTCTGCTGCTAAAGCGTGTGCTTGAATCATCATCTGAAACACTGTCATTGTTATTAGCAGTCAAACTTATAAATCATCTTACAAGCTAGTACTGCTATTCACTAGAATTTGTTTGTTGATAGACAAACCGTCTCTTTCTCTCTCTCTCTCTCTCTTGATGGGGAATGATCAGCACAGCTTGATAGAGAACACATAACATTGCATATGCTCTGCAGATCGATGTTATGTTATTGACATGAAACCATCATGGGCTCCTTAAACAAGCAACTGAAATAGCCAATTTTGATGGTTACATTGGACCAATGTGCGATTACCAGCATATATATACGATGCGTCAAAAGAATTCATCACTTCGAATGGCTTAGGGCATTAATTACCTCTAATCACTTTGTACTTTCTCTGTACCAGTATATTTAGTTTGTGTTATTACACTCCTGATGGATGATGAAAATGGTTGGTCGAATGCTTTTTTTTTTTTAGTTCAAAAAAAAAAAAAAAGAATCATCCATGATCGATCTCTTGAGTTTTCTGCATTTATTGTACCTTGTTATTGATATGGTCCTGAATCATGTGACATTGAAGCTAGTGGACTGAAGCACAAGTTGGAAGATCAATATATAGGAGGTAATACTGTATATATAGAAATCTCTAGATGAGAGCATTCAGACAAGAAATGGAGGAAACATGTAAATTGAACAATTAATGGGGATTATTCAAATGAGGCTTTTTTATTGTTTGATGGTGTTGAAAGAAGGTTTCGAATTCCATTGCAGGCATTAATTTCTCTTTTCTAAATAGGTTAAATCCAGAATGAGTAACCCCTTTGTCTGAATTTGTTGTGCTGATTGTGGGGATAGGCACTATCCCCTTTATCTAAATAGGCTAGCTCATCCACCATAGAAGTTCTATCCTCTTAATTATAAGAGTTCTTCAAATTATGGGTCTAGCTACTTTATCAAAACCCTAACCAAGTGGAAGACTTATACACTTTGCACTAACATTACTTCTTTCCAGCTGGTCATCAAAGGAGAGAGGATGATTCAATTTAATGGGGTGACACCAAAGATTCATTCGGAGGCATGCACCTTGATTAGCGGTGTACTATACACACCTCAATGAATATATTAAGCTACTATATATCCACCAATGCCTGATAAAGACCTTGGTCTGTCAAGACAGTCACCTAGTTTTAGACCTAGGGTTTGCACCCCGCATTGTATTCGCGTTTTTGGTTGCCTCTCACTCTCTCAGACAGAGAGATTCATGCAACCCTTACCGCTCTGTAAAGCACAAGACCCCAAAACCTACTTGGTGTGTGTGTATTATTGGTTAAAATAACACCGATCTAGTTAAGTTGTTTGAGCTTTACAGGGACGTAAAGCCAAGCTTTCCTCGTATAACAACTAATATGGAGAGGAGACCTAACTTTAGTTACTTCTGAAGTTACTTTTCTTTTCTTTTCCTTTTCTCGTTTCAGGGATTCTTAGAAAAGCACCGTGATTACAGGGAAGGTAAGCAAATTGTGAAGCCTTTATCACAGGTTGCACGCTGTACACTATATATATTCTTCTAGTTTGCAAGCTATAGCATATCAATCGATCTTTGTCTTTTTAACAAAAGCATATGTCATCTATTCAGCATTCAATTCCGAAGAAGGTAGTCCATTTTTTTCTATTATATATATCTTTTGCAGTCAACATAGTATCATATGATTCCTTTGGTAAGGTTTTCTACCCAAGATAGATTTTTCTTCTAATTTTATTTCCCCCTCTTCTTTATCGTACAATTCCTGCTCCATGTACTACAAGATTTTCAATTTAATTTGAATGTTCTTGATCTTCCTTAAAAGTATCTTGCCTTTCACCCACCATATCTAATTAAATATATGCTAGATAGCTGCTACAACTTCTAGATATCAAAAGACATCAAAATAGAAAAACATGCATCAAGCAAGAATCATATAATTCCACTATTAAATATACAAGCTATTAGTGACTATTTTTTTATTGAATCCATCTATTTTTTTTTTCTTTCTGTTTGATGAAAGATCTCTTTGCTTTTTAAGTGGTAATTTCACTAAAATTTATTTTAAACATTGTTAGAAATTTCCTTGTTCGATCTGCACAAGTCTAATTAGCATGAAGTACAGATTATAGGACTTTTATTTAATATTCCTTTCAGAACAATGTCAAATCATAAGTTCAAACTTGCTTGAATTATAAAAATAATAAAGTACCACCATTACATCTTTTACAAGAATTGCCTTTGTTACATATACACTTCTGATACAAACTTTGTGATGAAGATTTTCACTAGTTTTTTTTTCTATATTTTTAATATACTAACAAGGGAAAATCTATGCTGCTGGAAATTAAGGCATGGTACCGAAAGATCTTTGACCAAACAACCTCCCATCCTCCATGAATTTTGACAAGTACCACCTGATTGATTACTACTTTATGATACTGGTTGATATGGACATGTTTTGAACATGGCAATTTTTAGATGATGATAATAATGAGTGTCCATATTTTTCTATAAATTTCCTTATATTTCTCTGTGTATAAAAATAATTCTTATTTATCACATTTATTTTTGTTCTTTATGATTAATATATATAATATTAGATATGTGTCCAAATATTTTCTACAAAATTTGTGAATTTTTCATAATTTTTTTTTTGTGTTTTGTCATTTTAGCTTTTTTCAAGTAATTATGGCATTGAAGGTTGACACATTTGATCCGCAATGTTGAATAAAACAGGAAACAATTTCATATTTGGGTTGGTTTTAAATTTTGCATTTCATTTCCATCATCAATAAGACCTATTCTTCATTTTGAAACTTATTTTCTTTAATATGATTAATATAAAATTAATATTAGAGATATACCCAAAGGAAGAGCGATTACATAGGTTTGGGTTAGTTTTATAAAGCATGGGTTTTATATTGTTAAAAGTATTGGGTGTAGATTTAATTAATAGAATTTATTGACAAAAAAATATATTAAATATAGGATTTAATGAGAGAGAGAGAGAGAGGGAGTTAATATCTTAAATTTAAGACTTATTGAGAGGGAATTGAATGAGGTAAAAAGTAATAATTCAAATTATATTTTTTGCCTTCAAAATTACATGGGGACCAAATTCAAAAATAGAGTTCTTTTAATTAAAAAAGAAGTTTTCACAAATTCATTTCATACTTCTAATAGTAGATTAATAATAGTATAGATATAGATGAATCCTTTACATCATAAAAATGATAAATATCTGTGCATATCCATCTATTTAAATATCTATGCAAAAGTTAATAATCCAATAGTAGATTAATGATCTATATTATTCATCTAGGACTATACACAAAATTTGTTATGCAACATAAATGAGCCACCTAGAGAAAAGATTTTGATGATGTATGAATCTTCCATGTGGCAGCTACCATGGCAGTCTAAGTGGTCCTCATGTACCCCCTACATCACCCAGAACAAGTTTTAGCCACACAACCTTGCCACCTCACAAAACAGACCTCTTTTTTTTCTTCTTCTTCTTTGAGCTACATTAGAACTAATTAGATCAGTTCTAACAGGACTGTAGGGCTGTAAATCCTGTGAATACAACATCACAACATATAGTGTTTCCTGTATATGAAATAAAACATGGAACTTCAAATTTTTTGTTGTCTGGATTCTAGGACCAGTAAATGATTCATGTAGTAGGTTACACACAAATTGCCATATGAGATCAAGTGTGTCATCACTCTCTTAGCCCTTTTGTGTTTCTTTAAATAGCATGTGCAGAGAGCTTCATTCTTTATTCTCCTGATCAACCTCCAGCCCAAGTGGAAGGAGAAAGACTACATCCTTTGAGGTTCAAGAAAAGTACCTTCATCCCTTCCCTTAAGATAGGGGATAAACAGGACCAAAGGGAATCAGTTATTCTCTACTGTAATTTGTAATAAGACTGGTACAAGCCTAAATAGTTAAAATTGAAATCATGGCATCAAATCAAATGAACTTACATGAATAGACCTCTCTTATACTGTCTCTTCAAAGCATTTTATTTTTGTATTACTTAACAAGTTCAAACATTTTGTGAGCTCTAAGATAGGCTGATTGCTATTCATCAGGCTTTGGGCCGGGCCGAATACATATTATAAGGAACATTTTCATGTTAAGGCTTAAATCTTGCCTCGGCCCAACTTAAAAATTTAGAAATGTGTCAGACATGTAGTTGATCCTTTTTTTTTTTTTACTGCACACGATTCAATTTTGACCATTTCTGGAAACCAAACTGTGCACTATGTCATAGTCATACCATACACTAACCATGGGCCAGCCATGTTTGTAAAAGCCCAGAAAACACGGTAGGCCACAGACTAG